ATCCCCATCTATGAATTGGCTTCATTACTTTGCTCTCCTCCCCACTGATAGCTGATGTGTGGTGAGCGTTCTGGCGCACTATGGCTGCCGTTGCATCATCCAGGTGGATGCTGCACATTGGTGGCGGTGGAGGGGAGTCCCCATTATCTGTAAAGCGCTTTGAGTGGGTGTCCAGCTGTGTAAGCAATTATTATTATTATTAAATGTGGCTTCCTCTTCACAACTCAAGTTCAAGTTCATGTTTGTCATTCCAGCCATATCCAAGTATACAGTGGAAATATCGTTCCTCCTGCTCCATGGTGCAAATACAAACGGGACAGACAAGACACCGACATAGATATTGTAGAAGGGACACGCATAGTGCAAATTACAAGCCAATATGCAATACAAAATACACAAAACTGGGGGTATTTAAACCCTATTTCTGGAATTGGGGTGGGTGCAAGTACTGTAGATTCCAGGGTGTTGAGGAGCCTGACAGCCTGTGGGAAGGAGCTGTTACAGCGTCTGGTGGAGCTAGCCTGTAGACTGCGAGATCTTTTCTCAGATGGTAGGAGGGCAAAGAGTTTATGGGAGGGGTCATCAACTATACTGGAGGCCCTGTGTAAGCAGCGTTTGTGATAGGTGACATAAATGGAAGGGAGGGAGGCTCCAATGATATTTTCAGCTGTTTCCACAATTCGTTGCAGGGTCTTGCGGTCTGAAGTGTTGCAATTCCCAAACCAAATGGTGATGCAGCTGGTCAAGGTGCTCTCGATGGTGCTTCTGTAGAAAGTGGTAAGAATGGGTGGGGGAAGGTTTGCCCTCCTCAGTCACCGCAGGAATGAGATGCTGCTGTGCTTTCTTGGCTAGGGAGGTGGTATTGAGGGACCAAGTGAGGTCTTCTGTAATGTGTACACCAAGAAACTTGGTGCTTTTAACTGTCTCCACAGGGGAGCTGTTAATGTACAGTGGGGAGTGATCAGCGTGGGCCCTCCCGAAATCAGTGATTATCTCTTTTGTTTTGTTTACATTAAGAGATAGGTTGTTTGTGCATCAGTCCACTAGTTACACTACTCTACTGTACAGCCCAGATGTGTGGAGTACCTGAACTATTCTGAACTCACTCTCGGTTTCTCCCGTCTTATTGAACACTGTCGGTCTTTCAGGGTTGTTTTCTGCCTCTTAACTGCTTCTCTGACCAGTGTCCTCCTTGCCCGGCTGCTGAGTTTTGGAGGACGACCTGGTCATTGAAGATTCTGAATAGTTTCATGTGTCCTCCACTTCCTGAAAATTGATTTAACAGTGCTTTGTGGGATACTCTGAGCCTTTAAAATTTTATTATATCACTCACCTAACTTTTGTCTGTCCACAGCTCTGTACCTTAGTTGTTGTAGAAGCTCCTTTGTCTTCACATTGGATTGTCTAAAATGTCCAAAGGTGGGAACTCACACAGACAGGTGTATTTAACCTTACAAAGACAGATCTGAATGGTTAACCACTTTAAATGCACACAGGTAGATTCCAACTTGCGAAAGGTTCTTTCTTTTAATTAGTTTATTTTTTAGCTCCAAACTTTAAAACACATTTACAATATATTGTAGAGGATGTTGTATGGATCAAAAGGGAAAATAAATATATCCCATTTCTGGCTGTAACATTGGAATGTGGCAAAATACAATGGAGTTACATTTTTTACACCCACTGTAACTTTCAAATGTGTGATATTCTTGTTATACCCACAGAAGGTGATCTCTAGTAAAACTCATTTAAGTTAATTGCTACCACGCTTTATTACCAACCCCCTGCTTAAGTGATACTCAAAAAAATCACTATGTAATGGATGGCAGAATAGTATCAAGCATATTCCAAAAATGTGTCCTTCAGAATTCTGACACAAG